TCCTTGTAAGCAAATCATTTCAGGTATTTTGCCGGTGATGAAAAACTTAACAAAAATATCTTTATGTCTTCTTGTTTTTTGTTTTTGTTTTTGTTTTCCATACTGCTAAGGATTGAACCCAGGTTCTTCTACACTTTAAGCAAAGGTTCTACCACTGATAGTCATGCATAGCCCTGACTTTTTGATAGAACCAAAGTCTTTTCTTTGAATGCAGGTCTGAAGACAATGTTCTATACTGTTTTTCTTAATAAACAGAAAAAAAATGCCTTATGATTTTGAGTTTCACATTATGTAAAAGAGAATATTAAATAGATTATAACAAAACACTCTGAATAATGTATAGATTTTTTGGTTTTTAATCAATCTTTCTAGCCCACTTACCCATAATTATAAAAATTTTTTAGAAACCAGTTCTGTTTTTTCAATTTATTTTTCCAGAAGAGCACTCAATATTCAATTATTAGGTTTCAAATAGACAATTCTCTTTTTAAACTCATTATTCTTGTTTAACATGAAACAATACATTATGTAACTTTAATAATAAAAAGTAATGAGCACAATGAGGATATTGATGCATTCAGCTAAAAGGAACAAAGGAGCATAGCACACTACAAGGTAGCTCTTGAAATAAAGCTGAAATTCCTTTCCACATGCATTCCATCCAGAAAGATCTAGTCCTCTCCTGCCTCTTCAGCTTCATCACATACCACTCTCCCCTGTCCACAATGCCTCTCTTCTTCATTCTCCCAATGGCTCTGGATACCCACTTGGTTCTGAGTATTACATTCTTCTGCTGACTGATTATATTTCTCACATGTCAACTCAAGTGAGACTCTACTAGCATCCTAATGAAGAGAATCTTATCTTCAGATTCTCACATCTAGGCTACTAGAGCATATCATTGTGTGCTTTTTTTAAATCCTCCTTAACAATTATAAAACATACCCCACATCTAACAGAGGGCTGGTCTCCAAAATATATAAAGAACTCAAGAAACTAGACATCAAAAATAAACCAATTTAAAAATGGGGTACAGACCTAAATAGAGACTCCTCAACAGAAGAATCTCAAATGACAGGGAAACACTTAAAGAAATGTTCATCAACCTTAACCACTGGAAAAATGCAAATCAAAATGACTATGAGATTTCATCTTACACCTGTCAAAATGGCTAAGATCAAATACACAAATGCCAACTTATGCTGGGGAGGATATGAAGCAAGAACAGTCCTCCAATGCTGGGGGGGGGCAGTGAAAACTTGTACAGCCACTTTGGAAATCAATATAGCAATTTCTCAGAAAACTGGGAATCAATCTACCTCAAGACCCGGCTATACCATTCTTGAGCATATACCCAAAGGATGCTCAAGGACCCTTGCTCACATATGTTCTTAGTACCTTTATTTGTAATAGCCAGAACCTGGAAACAACTAAAGAATGAATAAAGAAAATATGGTACATTACACAGTGAAGTATTACTCTGTAATATGAATTAATAAATAACCCAGAGACTAATATTGGAGTTCAAACTTCAAGTTGGCCACCATATTCTTACCTCTGCCTCAGGCTGAATGGACTGATCCTGTCTCCACTAGCTCTCACCAAGTCTCAGAATGTAACCTCTCCTTAGTGTGGCTGGAGAATGAAGGCCTCATGCTGACTCCTGATACTGATTTATATACCTCTCATGAGTCCTGGGATTAAAGGTATGAGCTACAATTCTCTTTTAGACTGATTTACTCTTGTGTAGATATGGGTGGCCTTGAACTCAGAGATCTGTCTATATCTTAATCCTGAGTGCTAGGATTAAAGATGTGTACCACCACCTCTGCCTGATTCCTATAGCTTGAGGCTGACTCTGCATTTCTGAATCCTCAGTAAAGCTTTAATAAATCATAAACAATATATCACTACATTACTCAACTATTAAAAAATAATGACATCAGGAAATCTGAGGGCCAACTAATGGAACTAGAAAAAAAAGAAAAAAAAACACGCTGAGTGAGGTAACCCAGACCCAGAAAGACAGACATGGTATGTACTCACTCATAAGTGTATATTGACTGTAAAAGATAAACAGGAAACAATCTACAGACCCAGAGAGGCTAGGTGATAAGGAGGGACCAAGGGGGAGGAGGAGATACATGGATCTTTCTGGGAAGGAGAAACAGAAGAGATCTCCTTGGTAGGCTGGGGGTATGTGGGTATGGAAACTTGAGGGATTGGGTTGGGGGATAGGAGGAGTGTGAGAGTAGTGAAAGAGATGACTGGAAGGGGGTGTCATTTCAGGTCAAGTAGAAACCTAGTGCAAGGAAAACTCACACAAATCTATAAGGATGACTTTTAGCAATAGTGGATACATAGCATGAACTGGCCATCCCCTGTGATCAGACTGGTGACTGCATAATTGTCATCAGAGAGAAACAGATACAGAGATCCATAGTCAAACATTTGGCCAAGCTCAGGGAATCCTGCTGAAGAGAAGGAGGAAGGATTATAGGAACCAGAGGATCAAGGATGTTACAAAAAAACCCACAGAAATAACTAACCTGGCTCATAGGAACTCACTGAGTCTGAACCAACACACCAGTGAGCCTGCATGTGACATATGTGACACTTGTATAGCTTACATTTTTGTGGGACTCCTAACAATGGAAGCAGGAGCTGTGCCTAATGCTTTGGCTGGCTCTTGGGAACCTATTCCTCAAACTGGATTGCTTTGTCCAACCTAAATACAAGAGGAAGTGCCTAGTCTTGGGGCAACTTGATAGACCTTGCTTTACTGATACCCATGGAAGGCCTGTCCCTTTCTGAACAGAAAAAGAGGAGGAATGGGTTTAGGGGGAGGGAAAGGAGGAGGAATGAGAGGAGGGGAGTGGGGGAATTAATTAATTAATATTATAAAATAATAATTGTAATTACACACACACACTTTTATGTCTCTTCACTAAAACAAAGTCTCACTAGAACATTTTTTTCACCACTACTTCTTTTCATTTATTTTATAACCTGACCACAGTTTCACCACTGATTTCTTATAAGCTAGCATACAATCATTTTCTGAGGAAAAAATATGAATGATCTGAATTGGTAATACCCAGCTAAAAATAGCCTCTGTAAAATATTGATATTTCTATGCATAAAATTCTCAACTAATAACCACAAAAAGAACTGTAAAAATTTCACAGTAGTATTACTCTTAATAGTAAACATCCAAAACAGCCAATCTCCAACAGGAGAAATGTATAAGCAAATAAATTATAGTATATGCACATTAGGAAATATTACTTAGTACGATTTTTGTTTTTATCTATTTGTTTTAAGGAACCAATAACAGGACATCTAAAAATATTCTGTGAAAGAAGGTCAACAGAAGAGAATGCATTCCACATAGCAGCAACACAAAACAACACAAAACATCTATGGCAGGACAAAAATGGAATAATGCCTACTATTTAGGTTATATGTTAACTGCAGGCCAACAAAACCTGAAATGTTCTATGTCTTGAAATGACTTGGGCTGCAAGAGTATATACAGTTATTAAAACAAATGAAACTGTCTACTACATGCATTTTGTTTTTGAAAAAAGGTAATATACTCTATGCCCTGTGACCTATCTACTCAACCTCCCAAATACTTAACTTGGCTTACAGACAGACAAGTCAGATACCCCTAATTGTCTACCTAGGTATCTCAAAGGATGCAGGAACACAAAATAAGAGAACCAGCCTATACCCGTTTTCATCAAAATTTACATAATAATTTGTTCATTTGCTTCCTAAAACCCATTATTGTGAGGCACATACAAGGAGAATTGAACCAAAATAGTTAATGCATTATCCCATGAGGAAACATAGAGAAAATGCCCATCACTATGAAAAATGGTTTATTTTTCATTTACTGTAACCAAACAAAACTTTGATAGAAAACATGAACCAGTTCATGAGGCATTAAAGAACAGCTAGATACAGATAAGGTACCCCAAAGGAATATGTGACCTGACACACCAACCATGAGCTGAAGCCATAGGCTGAAGAAGAATGCTATACCTTCCAATTTCACTCTACACTCAAAAGCAAGTACAGCAGGACCAAAACAATACAACAGTCATGCAGCATTTTGTGTCCACTGAGGGAGTGAAACAAAGAATGAGCAAATGAGAAGTTGAATTTCTTATTTTACTCAATTTGAATTAAGTTTCATTTTAAAACATTTTCAGGCAATGCAAAGTATGATTCTAATATCAAAGGACAACTTTCACAAGTCTACTCTGCCCTTCTACCATGTAGACCTTGGGGATCAAGCTCAGGTCACCATGTTTGGCAACAAGTGCCTTTACACTGAACCAAACTACCATCCCTCAACAAAACATCAAAATAGCTCGCTGTTAATTTTCCCACTGATTGTATTTCAAAAGATATTTCACTTGAATAACAAAATATATTACCAAAATCAATTTTAGTTGTTTACATTTTAAAATTAATTTCAACTGTTTCTTTTCACAATCAAACTCTACTTTTGTTTTTGTTGTTGTTTGTTTTTACTTTGAGACAGACTTTCTCTGTGTAGCTCTGGCTGTCATAGAATTCTCTCTACAGACCAGGTTGTCCTTGAACTCAGATATCTACCTGCCTCTGCCTCCTGAGTCCTGGGATTAAAGGTGTGCACCACCACACCGAACTCAAATTTTACTTTTTAAGTTACATTTTTATACATGTATTATGTATGCATGTATGCACATGCTCAAGTGAATGTTACATGTGTGAAAGTCAGAGGACAACTTACAGGAGTCAGCTCTCTCCTTGCACGTGGGTTTTAGGGAAGGAACTGGGGTTGTCAGAGTTGGAGATAGGTATTTGCTTAATGAACCCCACCAGCTCCACTTTGTTTTAAAATACATTTATAGCATGTGTTGTATTTCAAATGGACTGTACTGTTCTAAAGGCAGGTCAGCAGTATCGCTGTCACACATCATCAAATAGTGGAGACACCTCCTGACCTTTGCACTTGATTGTCGTCTTTTCTTTAGCTGAATGAAGTCTGTTTCCACCCTTTCTGCCAGTTCTAGTTTCCTCTTGTTCCTTTTAAATGCAGCTAAGCTGAATCCTACAAAAGGGAAGAGCAAAAATACTACTTGAGAATTAATGAAGCAAGAAGGCAAGTGAGATTATCTTGATTAGTCTTCCCAGAAAAAAAGCACTTAAGACTGTTGAACTGTTGGTTTTAAAGTTTTTCAATGTACCCTGACAAAATAGGAAAATGAAACAAAAAGTTTATAAACTTTAGGAAAAGATCAAATCAAGGAAACAATTAAGTTCTTAAGGTAGACAGGGCCCAGGGGCACCAGGTGACCCATGGTCAGCTCATACATTGGCAGAAGAGATGAAATTTTGTAACAAAGTACTAGAAAGCATACTAGAGATGAGCTACAAGAAAAGAAGGGCATCCCAGTGGTTGATAGACCCCTAGGAAAGGCAAAACAAGCTGTCACAAACTAACAAATAAGGCTGCAAGTTTCAACCTTGTCCCTGGATGGAAAGGAAAGTTTTCACAGGAAATTCTAAAAAGGGGCACTGATGGGTGAGTAGGGAAGAGTCCATATTATCTGTATCATCTAAGGGAAGAAAAGGTGACCTCAGCAAGCTTAATCTTCACTGCCAACTGGACTGGATTTGGAGTCACCAGGGAAATGCCCCTGTCTGAGTCTTTACAGGGACTTCTGGAGAGGTTTAACTGAGACTCGCCTGAAATGCTGGTAGACCATTCCATGGTATGGGGTACTGAACTCACTAAAAATAAGAAAGCAAGCTGAGCACCAATCTTCGTGTCTCTCTGTTTCTTAACTATGGATCAGTGGACATTGCCTCTCAAACTGTAGCCAAAACACACTCCTCTTTTAAGTTTCTTCTTCACTGTTTGGCCAAAGACTATTCAGAGAGAAAGAAGGCAATTAAAAAAAAAAACACTGAGGAAACCTGGTATAGTGGCTCACACTATCATTACAGCACTCAAGAAGCTGAGAAAAAGAACTTTTATGGGTTCAAGACCAACCTGAACTATGGAATGAAACGTCCTCAAAAAAAAGATTCCCTGGAACTTTATACCCATCAACACTCACTAGGATACTTTCCAACCTAGAATATATATATATATATATTAGGCACCAAAATAAGTCTCAATATTTTAAAAACTAGAATCTTATCACAAATCTATAAAATGTCAGGGCAAAATTTAGAAATCAACAAACAAAAACAAAATAAACTAATTCATGAAAATTGAGCAATATGCTCAGGAACAGCCAATAGGTGGCTGCACATGCCTTTAATCCCAGCACTCAGGAGGCAGAGGCAGGCAGATCTCAGAGTTCCACAGCAAGTTCTCAAAGACTGTTTATTCACCAAACGTAGTACAATAAAAGCAACTGGAAATAGCTAATTCCTTTGTCAAAGAGTGGGTCTAGGAAAATATCCAAACTCAAGGAAATAGTGAAAATCAGAGCAGAAATAAGTAAAATAGAGACTAGAAATAAACTACTAATAATCAAATTGATAGCTGATTTTTTGAAAGATAAAAACCAACAAACCTATTGACAATTAAAGGAAGAAAATTAGATATGAAAAAGGAGAAACTTACAAAGTGGTAATACAAACAACCAGAAAAACTGCCATGATGATCACATGGCTGCAAACTGAAAAATCTATATGATGCAGATAAGCCCTGGGCAATACACCAGACTGGTTCAAGACAATGGAAAAATATAAAGCAGTCTAAAACAAGTAATGAAATAGAGGTGGTTGATCAGTACTCCTTAATGGTCTGAAAATAGATGCAGATTTGTGATGAAGCACTTGTACAGCATGCATGAGATCTGAATTTGTTCCTTAACATACAAACATATGGAGGAGTCTCTCACCAAAGAAAGATCCATAACTTGAGTTTCACTGATGAATTCTATAAAGTATTACAAGAAAAACTAAACTTTAATTCTTCTCAAACTATTCTAAATAGAAACTTAAAATAAAAGAAGAAAGTCTACTAAGCTTATTCAACTAGGTCACCATACCCTGAAACATGAATCATATACAACTACAACCTACACATTAACATCCCTGATGAACAGATAGCAAAATTATCAACCTAACAGTAAAATGTCAACTGCCACAGCTCCAAAATGTCAAGTAAAATTTACCCCAATGATGCAAGAACAAACCAAACATACCAACATCACATCAAGAGAAAAACAAAAACGTGATCTTTGAAAGAAAACATTCAGCACCCCTTCATGACAAATACCCTGACAAGATTAGATATAGCATCAACATGCCTCAACCAAATAAGGGCTGTAATGAGTGTCAATTTCATATCTAGTGCATGAAAAGATCTGGATATATGTCTCCTTACACCTGTCTTATCACCACACTATTTGGGACAGAGAAATTAAAACATTAAACGAATAAAATGTACCAAATTCAAAAGAAGGAAGTCAGATCACCTGCAGCAAAGATAGCAAAACTTTATACAGAAAGGTTCCAACCACTAGAAATGATGAGATCTAGAGCAGAGTTTGGTATAAAATGAACAGTACCAAAGCCAGCAAGATGTCTTAGACTTTTTGCCACTAACCCTGATGAACTGAGTCCCATTCCCAGGCCCCACATGGTGGAAGCACAGGTCCTCTGACCTCTACATACACACCATGGTCAGACAATGATATGAATGCATGCATGCAGACACACTGGTACCTATGGACAGACATACAGACAGACAGATTTTTAAAAAAGTAATAACACCAAGTATGCTGTGTACAAATAACTTTCTTTTAAGAAAAAAATGTTATATCCCAAGGCAGCCTGGAACAAAACCCAGGTCGCCCACAAGAGCATCAAGCACTCTTAACAACTGAGATAGCTCTCCATCACTCTCATCTAGTAATTGTCCTTTTTGATTATATCATAATGTACTGTGACACGATATCTTCATGATCTAGGATGTTTAGTGCCTTTAGAAGGGCCTTGTTTGTTTGTCTTTGAAAAGTTAGTGAGCATCAAGTGAGATGTGTGTTTTATGCTGCCCAGCTTACCAGTGAGCATACTGAACAGAAAGAAGTGAGAAAGCCATATGGGAATAGTAGAATTCATAAGTGAAAGGAAGTTTCTGTGTAACAAAAGTCAATCTCTTCTGTAATAACTAAGTGAAGTCTCAGGAACTAATAAATTATCTATTTTATTAATTAAGTCTTATTCTAAAAAAGATAATAAAAAACATATTTTGGGGCTGGAAAGATGGCTCAGTTGTAATGGCTAGGCTCACAAACAAAAATATAAGAAAAACATTTTTAAATCACACACACAAACACACACACACACACACACACACACACACACATTCTATATGTTATTTGTTAACTACAGTCTTGGGCTTTTTGTACCATGACAGAATTATTAAAGCAAGTTATAAAGAATAAATATTTATTTTAATCATATCAAGGAATAAATAAAATAAAAATAATTATATTTACAATTACCATAAAAGTCAAATATCTATTTGAGGAAGGGAATGAGTGATTGCTATAGTGACAATTACAAAACACTGAAAAGAAATTTCAAAGGACACATACATACACAAGAAATGGAAATCCACATGCCAATATTTTCAAAATATCTACACTACATAAAACAACTCCATAGATTTCAACAATCTGCATGAAAAAAACCAAAAACATTTTTCACATAAATAGAGAAAACAATTATAAAATTCATCTATAACTATTGACAGATCCTCAAGATCTGTTCTAGTAATCTTTGGCAAAAATAAAACTGTAGGCATACAGTTTTGCCTGAAAAACCTCACCTGAAAAACACATCACAAAACCACAATAACCAGAATAGGATGCTAATGTCCAAAACAAAGAGCAAGCACGCATGTGCGCGCACCAAAGAAGCAGATAAGAGAACCCACAACCTAGATGTCCCTCGCTTCAAGAATGGATAAAGAAACGTGGCGCATTTACACAATGGATCAGTACTCAGCTGTAAAAAGCAATGACAACATGAAATTTGCAGGTAAATAGATAGAACTTGAAAAATTGTCCTAAGTGAGGTAACCCAAACCCAGAAAGACAAATATAGTCCTTTGCATATATGTTATGGCTTCCAGTGTGTGTTTTTATGAAATTCCTGAGTATGTTAATAAGTTGGTCTCTGTGTAGATATCTGTTTCTTCTGCCTTTTCTTGAACTCTTTTCCTTCTGTTTGTTTTGTCCTATTCCAATGTGTTAGTTGTTGTTTTATCTTATTATACTCTATTTTATTATTATTTTCCCTTAGAAGCCTGTTTGTTTTCTAATGAGACAGAAAGGGAATGGATCTGGTTAAGAGGAGAATTAAGAAGGAACTAGAAGGAGCAGAAGAAGGGAAAGCCATCATCAGAATATATTATGTGAGGAAAAAAAAAAACAACTATTCTCAATAAAAGGGTAGGGAAAGACCTGAAACTGATACACTAGCATTAAAACAATGAAACCCTTCAAAACACTAGTATTCAACCCCCCCAGCAACACACACACAGAAGGTAATCATATAAAGGAGAATTAAATAGCCATTATTATGTCAAACTTCAAACTTAGATGCATATACAGGGGAAGGTAAACAACAGGGTAGATAACAAGAAGAATGTTATGTAGAGCGAGCAAGCAATAAATTCAAAAGTTCAACAAAAAAAAATAAAGAAAGAAAGAAGAAGAAAGAAAGAAAAGGAATCCAGAAGTTACAAAGGACAAAGGATGTAGGAAAAATTACTTAAATATGCATTTCTCAAAGAAAACATACAAATGGCCCACAAGTACATGAAACAATGCATAGCTAACCATATCTAACCATTAGGATAAAGCAAATCAGAAGTACAATGAGCTGTCACTTCATCCAAGTAGAATAGTAGAATGGCCATTATCAAAGAAACAGAAATAGCAAATGTCAATAGGAAGAGGAGAGAAGAGCTCCAATGCTTATCAGTGAGAACATAAATTAACAGTCATTGTGAAAATAATACAAATTTCCCTTTAAAAATACCACATAGCCTAGCAAACCCTTTATAAAACAGTATATGTC